GCTATTGTTTCTCTAACTATTCAAATTTTGAATATATAACTAATTCTAATTTCTATATTCCAATCTTTACACTATATTAATTATATCTTATAAATTGTCCCCTGTTCTGTCACCCATGAAATAAAAATAATTGTTTGTATGGAAAATAAATATCTACATACATCAAATCATTTTTAAATTAAGTCGCAGCAGAAGAATTATCGTTGAACTTTTTAAAAGTAAGCTTAAACATTAATTCAATACTTAAATGCAGTGATCATTTTTGAGTTCTTCTGTAGTTTATTGATGCCTATCGCATCTACTCCTCCCTAGCTATTGTGATGATGGTCAAACCAAGAGTCCTCCACAGGAGCTAGCTTAAATGCTGCCCAATAAGGTGGCTTTTAAGCTAGTTTATAATAAAATGTGCACTGCAATTTTGGATACAAAAGGAAAATAAGAGTTAATCCCTTTGAACCATGAAAGCAATGATAATGGCTAGTATAATATATTAATATATATTTTTAACCTTGCATAATCTGACAACCCTGAATCTGATCTCAACAAAAATCATTCACTGCACCTAACTTTCCTGGGGCTTTTGAATGAGCTATAAATCTTTAAAATTGGACCAGTGGGAGCGGAGGAGTAACTTGGACACACACAAACACACACACACTGTACTTTATATATAAGATGTAAATTTGCTGAGCTTGGATGAATAAAAAGATACATTAAATATATTTGGACTACTGACAAAAAAAAAGTTACATAATTTTCTTCTATATTGTTTTTCTTAAAATACAATTGTTTTCCTAAAATTCTAATTGAACTGTTGTTATTTTGCACTGTCTGTATAAAATTCTTGAATGATAATCTGTTACATATGAATTTCTATCACTCAAAAATACTAAACTGATTTTAATTCAGCTGATTGGGAAACCTCATCATCCCCATCCCACATTTCTATTTTAAGAAGTTAGTAACCCTCTTGGTTTAAGACAACCTCATTTGAACTTTGTACTGTACTAAGCTTAGTAAATAAATAACTTGGACCTAATCAGACTAATCAACCTTTGGACAACAGAGTACATGGTGTTTTACTGTTTTAAGAATGAGTTTTATAAATAACTATCAATATTGAATTTGTCCTTGTCAACTTTGAACTTTGTTTTTTAATATAACAGATCCTAGTGTACTTACCATAGGTACTAGCAAAATAAAAAAAAAATAAATAAATAAAAATAAATTCTACACAGTTTTTAGAAAAGAACCAAAAATAAGAGAATTATCCAATGTAAAAGAAATTTTCACTACTAAATCATTCATGAATAAATTGTATACTGAATAGGTCATTTTATTAAAACATTTTGTAGAAATATTTTTAGGCAATCAGTTTCACACATGCTTTCAGTACTTTTTTAATTTGGGGTGGGTGAAGGTTTGAAGAGTGACTGCAAATGTTTTAAAAAAATCTCTGAAAACTTTGTTTACATGTTTGTTTTTTTTCTTTTTACAGATTAACTGTTATTGTTCAAACAAAACCAAGATTTAATTTTTAAAGAAAACATTTAGATGCATTTTGGGGCTTTTATAAGGGAAGGGTTTGGTGGTCATACCTTACAGGGAGGTTAGTGAGCTGGTCATAGATATCAATAATTTGCTTTTGTAATGATTTCAGTAATACTAGTTGCCCTGTTACTCGAGGCAAAATAGAGCAAGTCTTTCTTGAAAGCTTAAAGATCTTCAATGAACAGTTGAATATTGTAATAAATTTTTTTTCATTCATGTCAACTTTTAAGAAATCTCTCTTGGGTTTCAGTGACCACCCCTATCTGAAGAAAACATTCAGCTATAATGAACAAAAAAGAAAAAGCAGCTATGAAATTAAGTAATTAAATTTAATCAAGCATTAAATCTAAATCAACCTATTGCGAGCTTGATGCTTTCCTTAATTAGTTTCATTTTTTGAAAATGACCAAAATTATTATGAGCGCTAACAAATCCAGATGAAAATAGATGGTATTTATCAATTCACCCACAGGAATTGAATGTGGCACAAGGCCTTTTTAATGTGGGTATGTCCGAGCCCGTGGCCCAAAAAAAAATAAAACCCATCTAAACCCGTAAGCAGGCTAGTTCATTAACCTCCCCCAATCAAACCCTACCCTTGGCGGAGCTTCGTTTTCAAGCAGAGAGTTACAGACACTAACCTTTTCCATCAGTTCAGTTACCATAGTCCCCATACATCATTGGGGCTGAAAAGAGTCAAAACAAAAACCACAAGAAGCAATGAGAGATTTCTGATTACCCAAGTTTACTTTGTATTTATTTTATTTTGGTCAGATGTGAATGCTAAGAAAGTAAGATAAAAAATTTTTTTAAATAGTTGTTCTGTGCAGAGATTCCAAGTATCACATCTGGCTCACAAAAATCCTCACCACATAAAAAAGAAAAAAAAAACACCATAAAAGAAGCCAATAACGAACATTGTTACCAAATAACAAACATGGAAAAAAGTGTTTATGATCCACCACAAGTTCTCAGCATCAACACCAGTAACGTTGGTCAACTGAGCCGACACACTCAACAGCTGAAGGCCCTACCAACTCTACCCTTTCTTCAAATCGCTTCCTTTGACCACAAAGAGACATTCTCATCACATTCTCTGTATCAGCAATACAATGAATTTTATATTAACAATTCTCGTCTTTTCCTTTTACTGCATCAATGGTATTTGCTTCGTTGGTTTTCATGCTAGTATACAGGTGTTTACCCACAAAAATACTCATTTACAACTTCTGATGTAAATGATGATAATTTGACTAAATAAATTAATATTTTATTTGATTTAAGTACAAGTACAAAACTGTTTTATTTTGCATTTTCTTCAATATTACACACTACAGAGATTAATGCTGTCAAGTAAATTTTTAACGATTTAAACAAAAATCCGTGTAAATCAATGGCTCGATTACCGTTTACACAGGAGGTAGACAACGGCTTGAATATTAAAACAGTGAGTAGACTAAATGAAATTGATAAAAAAAAAAGAAAAAAAAGAAGAGAAAACCTCAGCTTAAAGAACTAACAATAAACAAGATAACATTGCTTATTATTTTGCTATTGTCGCCTTCAATAAACAATTATTCAATTCAACCTAAATTGCAAACGACAGATAAGAAGAGTATCTATTTTTCACCGCGCCCACGTCGCTAGAGAACGTGACAAAAGGTTTAAAAGTGGGTTACTAACGGCAATCCGCAATACTACGGAATAATTGCCCAAGCCCCCAACCCAACACTTCGGCTTAATAATATTTTTTATACTTCCCCAGCATAACGAATGTAGTAACATCTGTTCAATTAGTGATGTGATTGCTCACTGAGGTCCAAGGTGTATTTGTCAAAATATTATGATGATAATTTGTTTTTTTTCGTTTTTTTTTTTTAATGATTACACTCCAAGAACGCAATAAAGCCACTAAGACACAAGAAAGCCAACCCAAAGTGTTGCCGAGTGTGAAAAAATAAGAAAAAGAAAACATGATTAAGGAGCGATGAAACAAAAGAAGAATCAAGTGGACAATATCGATTGACATTATTTTCATTTTTTAGTTGATCAACTTTTATTATTATTATTATTCAAGTTGTTACTTAAATACCTTGAAAGTAAATATGGTAGTCAAAGACGAACAATTTCGAGAACTAATTTGTTTAGTTTGTGCCAACACGAAGTTATTTTTTAAAAATCCTATGAAATCAAAAATATTGTCTTAGGGTTTAATTATTATTTACTTATAGCAAAACTAAATAAAGGCTAAAAAAAAAAAAAAAAAAAAAAAAAAAAGACAGAATTTTAAATTCTTCTGGAATTTACAGCAACGTTAAATACTTTTCTTTTAGGGATTTTCTTTTAACAACACCGTTTGAATTTTTTTATCACGTTCCATATTACGAAGTAGCTATTTTTTTTTTTAGATTTGTTTTCAAAGTATTAGCAATTTAGCCACTCAAAGAAAGAAAATAACCAGTTTTAAATTATTGAATTTTTCACCCGATGTAAAAAGAAAATTATCAAAAATCCGTTATTATTTTAATATCCGTTTATTTTTTTTTTCTAATCGCCATTTTAGCCATGAACATTTTGGCCATGGATTACGTTTCATTTAAGGGATCGTTAGCATTTTTCACTTAAATTACGAAATACGAGAATGCATCAACAATTGACGACGACTTCCTGATCTTTTACTTGAAATAGTTAGTAGTATACAATGAAATTTTATACTAAGTACGGTAAGGAAAAAGGATATTAAAAACTAAAAAAGTAAATAGTGTTGTTACTGTTGTATGTTTTTTCCATTATTAAATGACAGACTTTTTTTTTATTGATGTACCTTTTCTTGTTTACACGGTTGTAAATATTTGTTTATCAATTGTTGTGAAATGAGCAATTCAGTTTCTCAGAGGTTAATAAGTGGTTTTTTGCTCTTTTTCATTTTGGGACCTTTTTTGAAACCAATGACAAACAAATTACGTAAGAATATTGAATTAAAAATAAATGTCAATAATAATGGATGATGACCTCCAGAACTGGATTAAATTTCCTTTTCGTATTTTCATTTATTTTTTCGATATTCAGTTGGAATAATTAATTCTTGGGTTACACAAGTAAGTTGTATATCATTTTTTTTTCATTATAAAATTAACGTGTGTAACGTGTAATTTGTTTCCTTTGACTTCTTTTATCGGGTCTCTAGGTTACCTTCTTATTATATTTTGATAAGATTCCCTTTTTTAACCCTTACAAATTTTAAGTTAAAATTAATTTAACAAAAATGCAAACCAACTTTAAATTTCTTAAATGATACCGGAGTTCTTCCATATCCCGTTTTTTTTTTTAACTTGCGTGTGGACTTTTAGCGCAAGCAAAAACAATAAGATAACAAACACTAACAGTAAAAAATCATAAACAAACAATTGATTCATCATAATAATCAATAAAAAATCTGAGTTACTTACCTCCATAAGAAAGATGGATTTGTTCCGGGTGATATTGATGAGGTAACCAAACAAATTTTGAATAGCAGGTTCCCAAAAATGCTAGCAGAGTAACGAGCAAGAATTTTCCCTTCATGGTTGGTAGAATCAATGCTGTACTCACCGTCTGTTTGATTGGCTTTTGGGGGGTCGGCTGTTTTGAATTTATGTCCTGTTAGGCCAGGGGGCTACGAAAATTTAATGTCCTTATTAAAGTGAATTTTTAAAAATTTACCAAAATAAAAAGAATGAGAGAAGAGCAATTGGCTTTGTTTTGAATGTCACACCTCTTCGCCACGACGAACAATGCTAAGTCGCTAATTAGACTGACAGGCTTTTTAAACCAATTTCGGACTCTCAAAAAGGGAACGAGGAAATCACATGGTTCACATATTTTTTTCAACCTCGTTTTTTTATCAGCTTACAAAGTCGATTTTACATACAAATAAACGAACTTTCAAACTTCAAAATGTAAATAATCAAGCTAATATTAATAATAAAATAATATTATCTTTTTAAAAGCTTATTTACTTTGTTTTTCTTTTGTATATCTATTTTTTAAATTGGTCACGTGCTTTCACCACCTTTTTTTCTTTCAGTGTTTATTAAACTTTGCCCATAGATAATTTAAACAGACAATCACATCAATAAAAAAAATAAACAAAATAAAAGTAAAATAAATTATAAAGAGCATTTACGACATGTGTTTGTTTATTTTAAATTTAACGTTAATTTGAATTATAAAAAATTAGTTAGTAATACAAAAACTTTGTATTCTTACTAACTAATTTTTTCTCTCTCTAAAACTTCTTTATTTTGTAACAAAATAAACAAGTTTAAGAGAAAGAAAGAGAAAGGTTTTAGGAGCGCAAATTTTAATTTTAATTCTTTTTATTTTTTTTATCAGGACTCACTACAATAATAAAAAAAAAGTGTAGATAATTAAAAATAAATGTTAATAAAAAAAAGTCTAAGTTTGTCTTTTTACTTCAACTTCACACTTTAGTTTTAAATTTTGGGAGAAGATGTAGACATGTATTTAAAAAAAAGCCAGGTTTATAAAAAAGTAAAAAACTGAATTTGATTTTGATGTGTTTTCTGTGAAAGTTACTAAATTTAGAATTAGCGCTAAAAGAAAAATAAATACTGTCGAGCCGGACTGTTCCAAAGTTCATTTTTTAAATTTAAAAAAAATATATATATTCCTTGTATTTATTGTCCAACCAAAAGGGTTGCTTCTACCCACGTAAATTTAAAATGATATCCATCTGAGCCTCTTTTGAGGATAATAATAAGTTGGATCAGGAGGTAAAACATAATTTTCGTCTAGAAGGTAATAATTTTTAACTGAAAGGAACAAACATTATTGAAGAAATCAGAAAACGAGCCAGGAAACATGAAAATTTTGTCTTTTAGGCATAAAAATAAAGTTCCAGAAGGAAAAGCTATTTTTGCCTGTCACCTGTGGATGAGCTGGGCTGTTTTTCACAAAAGAAGCAAATGGAAAAAAAACAGACGTGAAACCTGTGAATAGAGCTTAATTAAATGATTAAAAGTCCCATTGATGCAAGTGAATTTTGCCAAAGCACCTGTTTTTCCATCTTTCCATTAGGTGGGTAGATGCATCCACCTAATCAAAAGATATTTAAAAATATTTTCAACCTTATTTAAAGGTTTTGTATTACCTTCTCAATGTTTTTTTTATTTTTGGAAAATTGCATTGTATATTTTTTAAGACCCTTTAAGTTTATATATTTTAATCTGTTATCTTGACTTGTTACTAAAAGGCACACAAAATGAAATTTTTATAAAACCTTTTTTAAAATTTGTATTTTGTTATGTTTTGTTTTAATATCTATGGAATAAATGTTTCTTCTTTTCAAATTTAATTTAGTAGGTTCGAGTTTTGTTTGTCTTTGCATATGCTTTTAATATTCATGATAAAAAAGATGACATTGTTGCGGATACGTGATGTGTGTTGGAAAGGAATAGAAGGTTCGAATTATCAGAAGGCTTAAAATTGTGTGTATTCAATAATCTTCCATCCACAACAATTAATACAAGATAGAGAATAAAGATTCATAAACATCTTGTTTCAAAATGTAACAATTGAATTTATTAGTGTTTGATATACATGCATGAATACTGAGTGAAAAGGTTAGACAGAGTTGTGTCTCTTAGATTAGGTAATATTTGTACCTTAGTTCATAAAGTGAAAGTAATTATTAAACTGTAGTTTAGAAGAATAAAGTTTCTTTAGCATGTTTGGAATTGTGTATTGTAAAGTTGGTAAAAGTTCAGAAGAGATTTCAGAGTTCGTACTTGCATAAGTTGGTAATGGTCTTTAATGTCTGACTGCATTAGTTAAGACGGGAGTTCTTGAAGATTACATCTTGACAAATGAGACACAAGAGATAGATGAAAAGAAACACGAGGGAGTTTACACGTGTTTTGTTTTTATAATTTTGTTGTACCATGTGACAGGCTCGAATGGAGAATGCGGGAAAACAGATTTGTCGCGTGCAGGATATCTGATTGGTCAGAACTGACCAATCAGCAAGCTAGATGAAGGTTATTAACCAATGAATGCTTGTTATATATTTGTATGATGGTGATGGTGAAAATTACAACAGGAATAGTGCATTTCCTAGCACAATAACATTTCTGAGGATTTTTTATTTGCAAAATTTTGGAATATTAAAATTCAAAGACATTTCAATAACTTCAGTAAAGAAATATTTAATGTATTGAAATTTGATAGCAAAGTAGATGATGGTTTTTTTATACACGCCTTTTTATGGGGTTGGAGACAGGAGACGGCACCTCCCTTTGATCGGGAGAGATTGTCCTCAGTCAGAGATTTTTCCTTCGTCGATTAAGACGCTTTGTATTCTGGCTCCATGGTCAACTAATTTAGTTTGCCAGAAAGGATGTGACCACTAAGAAAGCAAAACCTAAAATAAAAAAAAGTCATCCTCTGTGCAGGGGCTCTGAGCATCACATCCAGCTCATAAAACAAATCCCTGCAAAAATCTAAAACACAACATAAAAGAAGCCAGCCATGAACATTACTGCCATAGAAAAAAAATGAGCTCAGGAGCCACCAGATTTGCTTTAAAAAAAGCCACTGATAAACGACTGTAACAGAAACAGACAGAATGCAGCCAACAGGCCATCTGTTGACATAAACCACTGTGACTTCAGTCAACCAACCCAACACATATATTCACTCAAGAACCACCGTCCTTCAAACATCTACATCATGCCCACTTAGATATTCCACTCACTTCCTCTGTATCAGCAAACTTAGATTTGCAGCAAATATCAAACTTCATTAAACACCTCTATGCCTGTCTCAACTCCACCAATATGGCCTCAGTCAACTGATCTAACAAAACCATCAACTCCAGGTCTTACCTTCACCACACTTGTTGTGAACCCCCAGGAGTGCAGCATATAGTAGAGGCCCGCAAACATTTAAAAAAAAAATAACGTAAATCTGACAGGACCAAACAAAGACAACAAAAACGAGGAACTTAAATTAATGCAAAAATTTATTTACACAATATATACAATTTTAATACAAAAATTGAATAGGATAATAGTGTTTCAGTTGAAGCAAACTGAAAAGAGATGGAAAAATAAACAAAGAAAAAAGGAAATGTCAGAAGTAGGGACCACTGTGTAGCCGAAAGTACAGGGTTGTTGTGTGAGCAGGTCCATAAACACCGGAAGAAAAGAGCTGTATAGCTGTTGAAATGTACAGATCAGAAACACTGGAAGTAAAGGTGTGTATAGAATTGAATGTGCCAGAAGTAATGTGAGAACGCTGGGAGAAAAGAACGGTATAAACAAAGAAAAAAAGTTTCCAACTAGCATCCAGTTGGCAGATGAAAGAAAAGTGGGCAGTAACTTAATACAGAACCCATCCAAGTGCCATGGTCATAGGGACCAGAAGCCTGCATTCCTACTCCTACTCCTCCTTTTCCTCTTTATTTACCAATCTCCCTACAAGGTAAGATGTGACACAAGGCCAGTTTTTAACTTTGGTCATTCCAAGCTCGTAAGTTCAGACAAAAATTGACAGTAGACCCCATTTACATGAGGTCAGATTTGTCTACCTCCCCAAATGAGACTTTGCCCTTCAGCATAGCCTCGTCTGGGTTCCTCTCTGCCCAGAGGCAGAGAGTTTGACAAGAGAAGAAGAGGAAAAGAAAGCCTCCTCCTCCTGTTCCTGAGTAGTGAAAGGTCACAGATTTATATGATAATAAGTGTGTAGTCACATCACTGAGCTTGATAGGCACTTAATAGCTAAAAATTGAATACTGAGCTGCTAGAATGTATTAAAAAATGTTATGAAATATTCAAGAGGAGTATTTAGATCATGTTAACAATAATCAAACAACTAAGAAAAATGACATTGATTATAAAATCTAAATAAGCCTGTTATGCTGCTTAGAAGAAAGTGGGGTGATACAGCAAAGAAAAGGCAAATATCTCGTCCACCATAATAACATGAACAGAGTAGCAGGGGTTCTACGATATCCTCCACTAAATCACCATACCATGCCCACATAGATATTCTGCTCTATCAACTAAACAATAGAATTTTATATTTACATTTCTTGTCTGTTCTTTTTGCCTCACCAATGGTAGTGATGTTTCATTTGTTCTTCTAGGCAATGATACACATGTTTATAACATTGTTTTCTTTCTCTTCAAATCTATCTACATTAATTTCAATTTTTATACTTTTACAGTCAGACTTATATCCTCATTTTTGTTGGTTTTTATTATCACGACAGATTTGTTGTCATTATTATGATCTTGTTCAGGTGTTTGTCAATCTGGATAGACATCAATGAATTTTGAACTAAACCCTTTACTTTGATCTCATTCAAGTGCCTGTCAATCCAGATAACTTTCAATGATTTTTGAACCAAGCCCTTTGATCTCATTCAGGTTCATGTCATTCCAGATAACCTTCAATGATTTTTGAACTGAACCCATCACTTTCTTTCAAGTGCCTGTCAATGAATTTTGAACTGATCCCTTTGATCTCATTCAGGTTTATGTTAATCCAGATAACCTTCAATGAATTTTGAACTGAACCTTTTAATTTATGTGTGTGAAATTTTCTTGTTTCCTTTTTTATGTCTGGATCACCTTTTATCTTGTTATTTTTTAGTAATGATCAGTTATTACTAGTTCTGTTTCTACTGAGTTTGAGTCTGTACCATCTGGATTGAATTATAGATTGAACTCAAAATTATACCACCAAAATCATGAACCAACACTTTAATTTTCTTCAATTCTGAAGCTACAAGTTGGCACCCTTAAAACTAATGTTCTTATTGCCTGCCTGCTGCTGCTTGCCTGCTACTGCCTTACTGTCAAGCTTGATCAACTGAGCAGATTCCTGGTAAATATAGTTTACTCAATAAAAAAAGGTAAGTCCTTATCATATGTTAAAAAGTAAACCCAAACCCTTTTGTAAATTCAATTCAAAGTGATCCCATTTATAACAATCTGTTCACCAGGGTTACTACAGATAAAGCTCTTTTGGTAGTTTGAAACAGCATCCCAATAGATAACCTGATACAAATGATAGCATTCTTCCAGCGAGCATCTGACAAATACCAGTAGAAGGATGGTTTTGCTATGAGTTTGTTGTTGTTAACACCAGTGATGGTAAACATGTAAGTATAATACTTAAAGGAAATGGTTTTAGGAATAGCATCATTCAAGCAAACTGCATGGCTGAGATACATAAATGATACTTTTATACTCTGGCCTCACCAGGAAGCTGTACAAAAACCACAGGATTATGTGAAGTCATTAAAACCTTATTTTTAGGTCATAGTAGAAGAAACCAAAAATCAACTGAGCTTCCTGGATGTGCCAATAATTTGCACAGAGAATGGGTTCAAGATATCTGTATATCACAAGCCAACTTTTGCCAGACATTACCTTAACTTAAATTTCAACCACTCATACAGCATAAAAAAGGGACCATCCAATGCTTACAACAATATGAAAAAATTGATTTGACACATACAAACAAGAGATGATCAGTACCAAACGTATCCTTCAGAATAACAATTATCCTGTAAAGATAATATAAACTTCTGCAGGCAGAAACAGAAGGGTCAATGGGGAAAGATTAGAAATCTGCCATGGGTTGTCTCCCTTACATCAAGGGCATGACAAGAAAGATTCAGAAAATCTGTAAACCGTACAACATCTGGACAATATTCAGATGCAGTTCAACCTTACAGAGAAATCTCTACTGAGTCAAGCTGAACATGGAGGAGAACATTATCAAGAATTGGGTGTATTATATGCTTTGCCGTTGTAACAAAAATAAAAAACTTAATATGCGGGACACAATGAAATCAGGCAGAGCTGATCATCTATGAAGAGAAAGGGTGGTCACCAATTCTTGTAAAATGAAAGAAAAATAATAGACATAGAAAAATACTGAAGAATCTGATGTCTGAAGGAACCAACAAATATGTTAGGCTGTGTCAATTGCCTCAGTAGGTCTAGCATAGATATAAATACCATATGGAAACAATTAATAAAGAAGAAAAGAGAAACAGTAATGGAGAGAGCCAAGTTTGACAGAAAGGCTTTAGCAGCAGCAGTAAGAAAGAGAAATAGCAGCGGAGAAAGTCAAGTTAATAGCAAGGTAGCAGGAGAGAGATAATAATAACATTAGGTTTATGGCTCCAAGTTGCTTCAGGATTGTCACATAGGTCAATAGCATCAAGCAATGTTTCTCAATCTTATACTAGTCGTGTCCTCCTTCAATGCAATGCAAGTTCTTTATGGCTCCTCATGCCAACTTGAGTCCTTTTCCCCACTAATCCCCTTTGCCTCGTCCCTCAACTTAATACATCTAAGGAAGTAGGAATATTAAAGTTTGTAGTTTGGGTAGTATTATGTCATCAAAACACTAACTCCAGTTGTAAAGCATAGAATATTATTATTTAGATAAATATCTTATTTGAATAAGCTCATTTATTTACAAAAAAATACATGTACCATCAACTCTATCTTGTATGGTTTCAATGGGATCCCTGTGACAGGTGCAGGGCTGCCGAATTGTCAATGTTTGGCTTGAAAGCTGTCAGAGAGAGAGAGATGTAAATTGCCTCTTTTTTTCTACATCAAGGTGATTTCAAGTCTTTGACAGCAGATGCATCATCCAACTGAAACCAGACTCAAACAAGTAAGTTGTAGCAAGTAAGAGCATCTTCACATCTTTATCAGAGTAGTGGGCAATTCTTATGCATGTCTTCATTCCTCCACAGCTTCTGGTGTCCTCCATGCTTGAACATCGCTTGAGCTGCTGTGTTATTTTGAAGTTCAATGAAACTTTCTTGTCTGGTGATATCAACTTCAGATGCATCAGCAATGAAAGGATCCACAAACCAGTGTGGTACTGTCATTTGGAGTAGATCAGAGAAGTGAGTTTTTATATCATTATGCAACTGCTTCAAATGATTAACATACACTGCTAGGTCATCATCAAGCAAATCAGTAGATATGTTTGCTAAGGAAGGAAACTGTGAAAACTCCCATCTCTTAAGGTTCAACCAGAAAAGCTTTAGTTTTCCATTAAATGTGTTAATTGCCTCCTTGCAAGAAAACAGGGTAGAGTCATTTTCATGGGGTTCTTTGTTTAGGACATTTCACTTTCCAAAATTGAAAGACAAGTTGATGAAAACATACCTTAATTTAAACTTTAAATTATGAGTTTTAAATTTTAGGAAACTGAAAACTAAAAACTGTCAGATGAAAAAATGACAATAAATAAATATTTATGTTAACAAAATGGCTTAGATTAATGTTGTGTCGTGGCACAATAGTAAAAATAAGAAAATCAAGTCGAAGTTGGTTTAAAGAACATCACAGATACAAAGGTAGGAAACGGGTACTACTCAGCTAGGCAGTTGTAGTACTGTCGCTGCTTACACCGGGTAGGTATTACTGGCACTATATATAGTGAGAACCGGTGTAATTCCCTTGTGTTAGAGGCCGGTGCAACAATTAATTTAATATTTAACTTAATAATAATAAATGTAATATTTTATTTTAAATAATAATTATTAATTGCAAAATACTCCATATATATATATATATATATATATATATATATATATATATATATATATATATGGAGCATATATATTTAATATTTTATTCAAAATAAAATATTAAATTTATTATTAAGTTATATATTTTTTTGTGGGTCCTAAATTTTCTGTGCCCCCTCGTGGCCCTGCCATTTTTCAAACTTGGCCTTGTGGCCCCTGAAAATATCTCATGGGCCCCAAGAGGCCATATTGTCTATGTTGAGAAATTTTGGCCTAGAGGATTAAAGGTTGAAGCATTGTGATGATAACAACAAAGATAAAGATACTAGACTGATTGTAAATAATAACTCCACCTCTCAGAAAGGTCAGAGGACACAACAATTGTAATGTTGTGATAACAACAACAAAGATGAGGACATTAGTCTGACTGCAAATAATGATAACACTGCATCCTAGAAATTCATCCAGTAATGAATATCAGACACTTAAAATACCATAGGTAATTATCTTCATGAAAGCTATAAAAATAGTGTTCAATCTTTCAGACCTGCAAACCAAATATAAACAGAAAATATTACTCCAGGTTAAATTCAAGATATACAGATATTGTATTGAGGGAGAGGGAGAGAGAGAAAAAGAGAAGAAAAATAGTTTTAAGGTGTGCTATATTTATGGGATAAAGTGCTCAATATCAGCGATACAGTGTATGTAAGTATAAATATAAAAGTGAACATTGAAGTCAATACTCAGAGGCGACAGGCTGTTTCATGCTGGACGCAATCGGCGGCCTAACGATTGCATCCAGCATGAAACAGCCTGTCGCCTCTGAGTATTGACTTCAATGTTCACTTTTTTATATATATATATATATATATATATATATATATATATATATATTCATTACTCTTGGATTCTTGGGAAGGTGCAGTATGCTTATTGTTATACTACCTATTCTATGGTAAATAGGCTCTCCCACAGATAATAAGTAGTAGTAGTAGCAGTTGTTAGTGAGCTCAGTAAGCTGAGTAAGTCAGTTGATGTCAGACATTAAAGTATGAGCCCCACAACTAGATTGCTGCGTCATTAACTCTTATTTCAAGTTCTTAACGTTTTGTACGTCAAACCTTTTTAGGACCGACTTAGTGAAGTACAAGCCTCCACTGTGAGAAACTACTTTACAACACTTATTGAATTTCTTGTTACAAAAACCATAGCAGCAAGACTAACCTGGTGACCCTATACTCATTTCTCTCTTATATCTGAATATTACCAGGAGTCAGATGTAGAGGGATATAAAAATGATAGATAGATAGATAGATAGATAGATAGATAGATAGATAGATAGATAGATAGATATGAACAGATTTGACAGACAGATGAGTAGATAATGAGGGAGACATTTCATTGCAATTTTAATCTTATTGGACTTAAGAATTGTTTTTCTTAACATTAGACCGAAATCCTTTTACAAAAATTCTTTTATTGTATTCAAGATTACCAGACAGAAATACTTTCCATATTCAGTAAGTACTTTGTTATTGTTCCTTCAAATTTTATAGATAAGAAGATAGTACATATTATAATACAATTGCAATGAACCTGATAATTTGGAATAACAAAAATACATCCCCAAATAACAAATTTGCTATCCTAGATTATAATTTATCTCTCTTTATCTTGGATTAAATTAACTAAAATAAAACAAATTCACTCTTGATATGATCATCACTATTTATGTAACAGATTTTATAAGATAAATCAAATTTCAATTTCTTTCTTGTTTTTTCTATATAATGCCTGCCTTGTCCCTTTAGTTCAAAGGTGATCATGACTCTCTCTCTCTCTCTCTCTCTCTCTCTCTCTCTCTCTGCAGATTTCTTTTCTGTATTTTTCCATGCTTTCTTGGAGAAAGAAAGTGGAGTGGCTTCCCATTGCCTTCTCTAAGGTTTGGTATTCAAAGTTTCTCATTTCTTAGACTGGTTGCCACCCAAGGCTAGAGAGCCCAGTCTACCCTGCTATTAACCCACAACTGTGGTCTGGAGAGAATGAGGAATTTGTGGGAAAATGAAATATGATCAATAAATAAAATAAAAATAAGGAATAAAAAAAGAAGAAAAAGAAATATATTTTCCCATGATGTTAGTAATAAAGAAACTGTAAATTTTATTATCCCACTTGGCTTTGCTAAACGCCCATGAGGTGGCACTGTTTAAGTTTATAAAAAGACCAACATTTCCTTCCTCTTCCTCTTTTTCTCCCCTTTGCTCTAAAATGTAGCAGTATATGGATGAAGACATCTCTGCTGAAAAACATACCTTTTCCCTGGTTCTTATTACTCCAAGATGTAACAGCATGTAGATGAATGGAAAAGTCTCCTTTCCCAAGCTGGCTGTTGGATGAAGTAAGTGCAACCTGTACTTTGGTCATTCCAAATCAGTGCATGGCTGACTTGAGCTCAACCAATATAACCAGCCATACCCTAACTCACTTCTGGACTAAAAAGAAATCATTGCTTACAAAAAGGACCAGAAAAAGAAATTCTCTTACACATAGTTTTCTGATGTATTTTGTTAACCCTCCACCAATGAAGTGAGTACAAACTTTACTTTAGCCGTTCCAACTCGGAGCAAGGCTGACTTGAGTTTAACCATTATAACCATTCTCATGCTTAATTACCCTAACTTATTTCTGGACCAGAAAAAGAAAACATCCATATCCAAGAGACATTGAGAACTTTGTTTCCCTACAGTTTATATTAAAAAAAGAATAAATGATCCATAATCGAAACCCAAGTTTTGCTGCTTCTTTAACTGTTTATAGGTGAACATGCACATACCTACAATACACCAACACACAGCCTTAAATTCCATAACTTCATAACTTTCCAAAGGTCATTTTCGAACACAGTAGATTAGGCTGGAATTTGAACTTGGTTTCTAAAAGGATTTTTTTTATGGAAGAGGAGAAGAAGAGCAAATGTCCAATCCCTTATCCCAAGTATTATGAATGGTTTAAATAAAAAAAAAAAAAGACTCTTAATCCGGTGTGAAATTTGAAAGAAATTTAAATTTATTAAATGATATAAAAAATAATAATAGTTCAGAATACAAAATTAACAAAACGATCTTGCACAAAATTTCACTTTGTGCAACTAACACTTAGGCAAGATAACAAATTACAATTACAATTATGTTAGGCTCATAAAAACAAATATAATTATTATCACTTAATTCATTTGACTGTCAAAAAGAGTTGAGGAAGTTGGCAATTTACAGATATCATTGGGTTTTTGGTTTGTTTAGACAGCAGTTCTGTTTTACAAACTGCGATAAATCATGTATTCTCATAAAAAGTTCAAAATCAGTTTTAATACCTCTAATTTTATGACAGACTTTCATGAACGAATATAGAAAGATAAGTGTATATCTCTCTAAATTTGTAGAAACTTCTGCTTTCTTTTACTTTTTTTGTTTCTGCTTCTTCCTGTTCTTTTTTTTTGTTACTTCCTTTTCTTCTTTCTTTTTGTTGTCATTATCATAGTCATCAGCATCATCCTTATGAATGCTGAAACCCTTCTGTTTCTGCCCTCCAGCAGCTGCCAATGGCTTTCACCAGTGAAACCTCTTCTACTTTCTTTTTCTTCTTCATTTAAGTTCAACTCCAAGCATTGTCTTTCTTGTGAAAGCCTAGTTACTTCTATATGTCAGACAAACCAGACTTCTTAAATAGCCACATTTTGGCTCTGATTTGAATCAGAAATTTGATACTGGGGAATCATGACCTACTTTCCAAATTGGTTAAAAAAAAAACATATATCTATCTAAACCATGCCTGTTCTTAAACTTTACTATGGCAGGTTTTCAGACCATAAGACATGAGTGTCTTTCTTTACAAATGTGGAAACCTAATTTTATACATTTTTAAAAAACTGTCAGGCTTTATTTTGGTGGCTTTTTAAAAAAACATCAATTTGAGTCTAACATATACAAAGTTTTACACATCAAATTTTATTCAAACTATTTTTTACTAACTGCCTGGCTTCATTATAGCACTTTTTATTAAAGAGTATGTGTTAGTAACTTACTTCTGTTAATACAGGTTTTTCTAAACACTTCCCTCAAAAGAAGGTGTAATAAATAAACCTAGTCTATTGTATTATTTTTTTATTTACCCTTTAATTACTTTTATATAATTCATATTTCCTTTTATTAGATAAATGTTTATACACCCATTCTGGTGTTCACACTCATAACAACTTTGCTACCCACTGAATCTTATTTGAATGGTGTATGGATAAATGTTAATTGTACTTTGCACTTTCATTATTATTTTTGTTTTTAATCCTTTCACCCCAAGCAAGGCAATAAAGCCACTAAGATGCAATGAGTTACTGAGTGTGAGAGAATATGAAAAAATGAAAATCATTATTAAGCAGAGAGGACAATAAAAGAACAGGAATTAAGAAGACAGAAGACAACAATTGACATTGCATTTCAATTTTTGAAGATCAAAGTTGATTGGAAAACAAAAAACTCGAAGAGAGTTCCACAAATGAGAAGTGTGATAGAAGAAACTGTTAGTATAGAACTTACAATTACATCTCACCATTTCAACAGTAAAATGTTGAGACATTTCCCCCAATCTAGTAGTACACTGAAATTCATAAAGACTAGGTAACAAAGAACACAGTAAAACAACTTTCTCAACTTCTTTTGACAGTTTATTGAATTAAGTGAACATTTTTTTGATAATAATTATATTTGTTTTTATGAGCCTAACATAATTGTAATTAGAATTTGTTACCTTGCCTAAGTGTTAGGTGCACAAAGTGAAATTTTGTGCAAGCTTGTTTTTTAATTTTTGTATTCTGAACTATTATTATTTTTTATGTCATTTAATAAATTTAAATTTCTTTCAAATTTCACATCAGAGTAAAAGTCTTCCTTTTTTTTTTATTTAAACTATTCATAATTATTGGAATAAGGGATTGGACATTTACTCTTCTTCTCCTCTCCCATAAAAAAATCCTTTTAGAAACCAAGTTCAAATTCCAGTCTAACCTACTGTGTTCATTAGATCAATTACCATGAAAATATTTATAGAAAAGGCACTGAGAAGCTACATTATGGCAATGATAAAGTGACTGAAACCAAGATGCCAGGAAAGGACAAATAAAATTAGAGATTCCTCTTTGTATTTTACCAAGAATCTCTAAATACATAGCTGAAGCACCAGAACACTATTTAATGCATGGATATATGGTAAACTTATAAATAAGATACATTCTGGCAAGAAAAATTCTCTTCCATGACACGGTGAACCAACTTTCCTAGTAGCAATTGATTCAATATAATCTTTCCACTTCATGTCGACAGAAAACATTATCCTGAGATCTCTACAATAATAAACAGCAGAATGAAATGAAAATAAAAGCGAAGTAGACACCATTATATTATCAGACAACAAATGGTCACAGTATCAAGTGGTCATTTTTACCATTGTGCTCTCTTTTTTGGAGGGCCAGGAATATTTTTCATGATAATATAAAATTATAATGAATGACAGTGGTCAATGACAAAATGGAGTGCCACTTGAAGTTATTTAAGTCAATATTATTTTATTTATATTACTTGTTGGTGTGTACAGATATATTTGATATGTTAAAAAAAAAACAAATTAAACACACATGCTACAAATAAGTGTTGCAGTAGTGAATGCAGATAGTGAAAAAATATACTAAAATATCTATGTACTCTACTGTTACCAGTTAACTAATGTTTTTTTCTTTTAACTTCTTAATTATAAATTAAGTTTATAATAGATAGATAGATAGATAGATAGATATAAAGAAACTGATAGATAGATACATAGATAGATATAAAGAAACTGATAGATAGATATAAAGAAACTAATAGATAGATAGATAGATATAAAGAAACATAGATAGATAGATATAAAGAAACTAATAGATAGATAGATATAAAGAAACATAGATATATAGATATAAAGAAACTGATAGATAGATAGATAAATAGATAGATATAAAGAAACTGATAGATATAAAGAAACTGATAGATAGATATAAAGAAACTGATAGATAGATATATAGATATAAAGAAACTGATATATATATATATATATATATATATATATATATAAAGAAACTGATAGATAGATAGATATAAAGAAACTGATAGATAGAGAGATAGATGTAAAGAAACTATATATATATATATATATATATATATATATATATATATATATATATATATATATATATATATATATATAAAGAAACTGATAGATAGATAGATAGATAGATAGATAGATAGATAGATAGATATAAAGAAAACTGATAGATAGATTGATAGATATAAAGAAACTGATAGATATATAGATAGATATAAAGAAACTGATAGATATAAAGAAACAGATAGATAGATAGATAGATAGATAGATAGATAGATAGATAGATAGATAGATAGATATGAAGAGAGAGAGAGAGAGAGAAAGAAAAGATAACTATTGTCTCTGGTATAAATAAGTATGTATCAAATAAGAGGGCAATGTCTTTCAAATTCCCCAAAATTTAATAAACACTGCTTTTTAAATAAATATAGAAATATTTTTTAGCAAGACACTGATCACACCATGCACTGTTTGTAATGGAATTTTAATAAAACTGATTGATGGGATGTCAAATAAAATGCAGTGTTGCTTCTTAAGTAAATGACTCAGACTGTTGGGATAAAAAGCCAGAATAAGAATATGGAATAAAACTTGTAATAAAATAATAGTAATAATGAAGAGTGTATTGATCCAGAGTTATTTATTTGTTATGAAAATTAATTGATAGCCTTGTAGTTGTGGGTGGGTCCCCATTGTCTCCTGGCAACCAATATTTTTAGACCCAATCTACCACTGTGCAAAATGTTCAACTAGGATATTTCTGAAAGATAAAATTTTTATGGCATGTAATCTTTGTCATTATAGTGCTCAATATCATGAAATAAAGTATTAATAATATTAAATGTTCACTTATCTTGTTCATACTCAGAGTTTCATGGAGATTTTTGATTAATTTATTTGTTATTTAAGGTTTATCAACCCCTTGTAGGTTATTTAAAGCTGAAAATGATTTCAAATTTTCATAAAGATGAAATTCAATCATCAGGGTTCTTGATTGTAAAGGGGATGCAATCTACATGTAACTGACCAAGGACAAGATAATGAACATTTATTTTTATTTATTACTATATATATATATATATATATATATATATATATATATATATATATATATATATATATATCATTTTAAACATTATTTCTAGTGGATACTTGTATATTTGAGTAGACAAGCCATTTATTTATTAAACGGCATTTTTATTTATTTTAGTCTACTGGCCTGAATGTTCAAGAAATTTTATTAAAGTAAAATTTACTGATTTTGGCAGGATTCAAACCTGCATCTCTTTGGGCATAAAGAGCTATCTTTATATCTGATATGCACTGTCCAACTGAGCTACAAGGAATCTATTGGTCAGGCAAGGCCAAATTTGTACCTTTAAGCAAAATTACTCTCATCATAGATTTCCCAAACTTTTTCATATCTCCACAGTTTCATATCCAAATGTAAACAAAGAGAATTTTAAAATTAATTCATATATATATATATATATATATATATATATATATAGTCATCCACAGACTGTTTTGCTGTATCACAGCTCTTCAGATTTAATATATAATGAAAAAATAACTAACATATAAAAAAAAATAACTATATATATTACTACATGAATGAACCAGAAAAAATTAACTAACATATAAATTTTTTAATCATTTGTTGTTCCAGGATGTTGCAGTTATTAAATTTTCAATGTGTGGTAATTGTTCTCTTTGTATTTTTGTTCTGTTTTAAGCTACTAAATTTCTATCCTTTGCTTTTGTTTTAACTAACTGTAACAAAATTCCAGCCATTAAATAAACTGTACCAAATTTCCTGTTTTTTTTGTGGGGTACCCTATATATATATATATATATATATATAATGGACTCTCCCATTGGTTTTGATGTATGAGGATCTGACAGCTTAATTGATTCAGTTATGAAATTTTGTACAATAATCTTAAATGGCACTTAAGATCTGCTAGTGATTTACAAATGAGCTCGCATATGGAGCAAGAGTGAGGATTGTGGAATGAGATTGCTGTTAGATTGGCTGACCTTTTAGATCTTGCTCTCACTTGAAGATGATTCAGACAAGCAGATTGAAAACTGCTGAGTCCACTAAAACATGTTGATCTCCATTCTACTCGCTCCAAGACTAAGCGCTCAAGGGTGTTATGTGGTATATTGACAGCTGACAAGTTGCTCTTCAGCTTGTCTTTGTATCTTAGGTGTGGGCGTCCTATATTCCTGTAGCCCTGATCTAACTTGCTGTACATTATGATCTTGGGTATTCTGTCATGAGACATTTTTAAGACATAACCAGTCCATCGTAACTGAGAAAAGTCTCGATTCCTTCAATATTATACCTATTAAACAGGTCTACCTTAGATGTCCTATCTTGAAGGTTAACTCCACAGATTGCACACAGACAGCTTTTATGGAAACATCCAGCATATAGTACCTGTATGGAGTCCACGACTCTGAGCCATACAAAAGGATGGCAAGGACAACAGCTCTGGAAACCCAAATTTTCATATACAGTCAAATATATATATATATATATATATATATATATATTAGTCATCCACATACATGTTTCACTGTATCACAGTTCATCAGTGTGGTTAGACATCTGATTACTTCAAGCCAGGATCAAAACCTGACTAATTTGGCATCAGTCAGAGATCCTACCCCTAAGCTATCAGTGTATAGCAGAGAAAAGGAAATTTTAATGTATTATATATGGATGTATACAAATGCCAGCAGCCAGAGGGCTCAATTCATTAATGAAGAGCTGTGCATTAATTGCAGTGGCGGCTACTGTTTTTGAAATCACCACTCTTTTCTCTATAGTGCTAATGAAGTAATTAGAAACAAAGTTTATTAATAAATTTACTCTTTAATATCAACATTTGTTGAGAGTGAAAAAAATCACAATTTCACTGATAGTTCTTAAATATAAGTCATAAATTGATAAAACAATTTTCAATTTACCTTGACCCTTCATATTATTACAATATCTCCACCATTGAGATTAGTTCAAAATTTTGATAAGTTACTGAAAATTTAGTTATTCGTTAAGTAAACACTGCCAATTTCTTGATGACTGATATTCAACCAATTCATCCAGATGCTAAACTGTTGTATTATTTGAGCTTAGAAATATTTCCCCTTAACTACTGGGTTAGACTTTTGTGTCTGTGTGTTCAGATTTCTTTCAGCTTGTGGAGAGAATAAACAGTTCTCTTGCAGTTAAAAATTATAAGAACTGTACTGCATTGTCCATTGGTGCAATTGTCTGAAATCCCTGCACAAACTAAGCATGTTTTTGCTTATATAGATATCCATACAGGGCAATAGTGAAGGATATTATCTCCAAACAAAGTTCTTATTACCAAGGCATATATCTATGTTTCTAAAGTACTTAGACATGGTGTGTTTAGAAAGTATCACATCTCCTTTTCATCTGTGAGGAAATTAATGATGTCATTGACAAAACCAAAAAGTTAAAAAAAAGGCTTCTAAGGATTTGTTTCAAAACATAAAAAAAACTAGTATTTAATATTGTCTTAAATTTCCAACAGCAGTTTTATTTACAGTATCTATACACAGTACTTTTTGCCAAACTACTAGATGCTCTAATCAACTCCAAATTGGTTAAGCATCTTACTTTGTAGGGTTTTCTTTCACTTCTCTATGTCAACTTCTGAGGTTTTAACAGTTACTGCTGAGTGTCTGTTAATCTTTAGATAATGGTTAAACTGTTGGTTTGGACATCTTGAAGGCATTTGACAGAGTTTGGTATGTGGGTCTTCTTCACAAATTGAAAGATTGTGGTATTTCTGGACAAATTTTCAATCTGATTCAGTCTTTCTTATCAAATCATAAAATGGTCACTCTTTTAGATTTTTTTTCATTAATGTGGTTGTCCACCAGGTCTTTAGCCTTGGACCTATGTTGTTCCTAGGTTTTATCAATGACCTTCCAGATGTCATCAGTTTCAACTCTGTAGATATGCACAACTATTTACTCCTGTCTTAATACTAAGTCCAATCGGTTCAATAAGGTCAAATTGGTAACTGATTTAAAAATTACCTACAATCTGTTATTCTGAAGCAAGAAATGGCTATTTAATTTACAGATCGTGACAGCTATTAGGGAGATGTGATTAAATATACTTTAATGTTTAAAAAAATTTATTCAGTATTATTATTGTTTAAGTAATAAGCATTATAATATAGCACAAATAGCTATATTGTGGAAAAAGGAATTTTAGACAATATACACATTTTTTCATATTTAGGGTCATTTATTAACTTTTATCAATAACATTCTTGTACATGTAGTTATTGATAATATACATTAATTACTAATTTTTTAAATTAATAACTATTTGTGGTCAGTTGTTGACATTAATAGCTATCTGCTGATGTTTTAAAATTTTGGAATAATGCAATAATAATTTAAATTTCATCTCTCTGATAGATGTCATGATCTCTTAACACCTCTAAAACAAAACAGCTCTCTTTGAATCATCTTAGAGAAACTTTTTTGCTTTCCATCAGCATGGCTGATGCTAACCTCCAGGATAGTGACTCATTGTGCTTTCTCAGGTTAACATTCTCCACTGACATGAAATGGAAAGATTATATTGAATCAATTGCTAGGTCTGCTGTTAGGCAAGTTGGTTCTGTGTTGGTGCTAGATAATTTTCCTTACCAGAATTTATCTTACATATTTACACGTCTACCATTCATCCATGCATTGAATATTACTGTTACATCTGGTCTGGTGCTTCTGCTGTGTATTTAGAGATTCAAGATGAAATCCAACAGAAGAATTTGTAATGTTAGTGGTCTTGACCTGGCATCTCAGCTTCAGTCACTTTCCCCACCACTGTAATGTAACTTCCATCTGTCTTTTCTATAAACATTTTTATGATAATTGTTCTGATGAGTGTTCCTCTTTGGTATGTAAACTTTACAAGATGCAACACTAGATTGGCTGTTAGCAATTTTAACATTAAAATGATGAGACCTAAGTTCTATGCTAATAATTTCTTTTCTCACTTGTGGAACTTACTTCTGGCCTCTTGCTTTCCAGTCAATTTTGATCTTCAAAGATTTAAATCTAATGTCAATCACTATCTTCTATCTTTTTAATTCCTGTTTTGTTATTGTTCTCTCTCTTTAATAATGAGTCTCTTTTTCTCATATTCTCTTGCACTCGATAAATCCTGATTTCTTAATAGCCTTACAAAGAGTGAAATGATTTAAAAATAAAAGGGATTATAAGTTCACTGCAAAAGAAAGTCTCATAGAATTTTAAGGCAATCAGTATTGTTATCATTCTCTGGA